CTTCACACCAAGTCATCATCTCTAGGGACTTTCAGCTGTTCAGATTCTTCTCTGAATTGATTATCCTGAGTCAGCATTTTAATGTACTACCTGATAGATTTTGCATGTGACCTAAAGTTTTTAGCAGAGAGTTAAAGCTTGTAAAGGTCAGGATCGACAGCAGAGATGTCTGCCATTCGTACTGCCAAAGTGGCTTCACTACAGTACAGTTCTGCCTAAGTCAGCAAGCTGCTGGAGTGGGGTGTGACAGTTCTTGGCTGAAACATTATACTTTCCTATAAGTAACATGCTTCTTGCATCTAAAAGCCACAGGAAGCCAAATACCTCCATCTGAGACACTTTCTAATAATCTTATACAGGTATAAACCTTCAGTATTAAGCTTGGTGCTGCTGGTGTTCAGTTCTGTGGTCTGGCCTTGCACACAGCTGCAGTAGGCAGCCTCCTGCATGGGCAGCGTGGAGCAGTCCTCCTTAGACCTGATGTAAAGCCCAGGAAAGGTCATAGGGATGTTTCCAGTCAACTTCAGTGGCCTATGGGTCCAGTACAAAGTTATGTTTTATCTGTAATTGGTAAAGTTACACATAAAAAGAGAGCCAGCGCTGCTGCTACTTCTTGGAAAATAAGAGACAGTACAGTTCTTAGCTGTTACGAAGTGAAAATACAGACTGCCTGCATGGCTTTGAGGTGCTTAACGTTCCTTATGAGAGCTGGGTGTTCAGCAGCTTGCTAGTTTGGTCCCTAATTGACAGAATATACTTGTGACTCTGCATTTAATCATGGTTGGTGATTGGAGTAATTTAATCAAAGAACTGATTGGGGTAATTTGAAATAGGCCCCACTGGTGAATGTCAGTAGTTAAGACGGATTGCCCAGTGGAGACAATAGCTAGTAAAAGATAGGGTAGAGGGTAGGCAGTAAATAAATCCCATGTTTTCTGTCATGGGACACTCTAGCCTTGTTTCCTGACAGTTCCCTCTCAACTTCTCAGGATGGTGAGAACCCCACAGTCTCAAAATGCTCATAGGGCAAGCAGTGAGGTGAGGAAGCTTGCTGATGGTGTTACATTATTCAGATCATTGAGGAAAGGGCAGACTGAAGAATTCTGTAAGGCCATTGTGAGGCTGAGGTTCTGGACAATAAAATTATAAATAACATACGGTCTAGGTATACACATAGTAATGTGCATAGGGATAAAAGCTCTCAGAACTTAACCTGTGAAATTACTAACCGTGAGCTGACCTGTACCATTCACGAGCCAGATGCTGATATGGCATATAACTAGACAAAAGCTTTGTTTCAGTGCTTAGTGGTGGTCAGATATGTAAATCAAGCATTAGGAATGATGAGGAAAGACATAGATGATAAAACAGCAAATGTTGCCATACCATGGCACAAGTCCATGGTTTCCCCTTACCTGGACAGTTCTAGTCCTCTCATCTCAAAGAGGATATAATAAACGTGGAAAAGATCAAGGAAGAGCTACAAGGATAAGCAAAGGTAAGGAATGAGTTTGACTTGAAGAACAACTGCAGAGACTAGAAGCCTGTAGGCTAGAAAAGAGGCAACTTGCCAGGAATACGATGCAGATCTCTAGGCTCAGGAGTGGCATGGAGAGGTGTGGATGGGGGTCAGCCATTCAGTGTCTCTACCAAAACAAACTACCATTACACAAAGCTAGTAGTAGTCAGGTTCAGAGGAAAAGGAAGTGGTTCTTCATAGAGTGTGTAGCAGGCCTGGGAAAATTGTTGATAAAAGATGTTGTGGATGTCAGAACTCTCTCTGAGCTCAACAAAAAGCTGAAGAAGTACCTAGAGGAGAAATCCACTGAAGAACCCAAATATGGAGAAATCCCATCCAGCTCAGAAAATCCCCTTATCTGAAAATAGTTGCAGACAAGGAGAGTACAGAGAAGGAAGTATCATGTATGCTTGTCTTGTTCTTCCTCTTCCCTCAGTGTCCATTTGTGGCCACTGTCAAAGTCCAGACACTGGGTTCAGGGACCTTTGATCTGACACAGTACAGGTGTTGTTGTGAAGCTGGTGTTTCTGTAGGGTGCTCCAGAGGAGAGGTCTGCAGCAGCACCTCTGAGCTCCCCAGCAGCAGATCCCTATGGCAAGCTGTGTCTATGTGCAGCACCGTTACCTGGCTTCTTCTATGCCATGTCCTCCTCTGCCTTGATTATGCAGTGTGCACTTTCTTCCAGATGTTTGCATGAATTATCTGTTAAATTCTAGAAGTCTTCTTTTTTTTTTTTTTTGCTTATAATAAAAAAACGTTGGTAAGTATGGTGTTTGAAAATGAGGGGAGATACATAAACCCATTGGACTTCTTTGTCATGAAAAAAGTGTGCAGGGTTGGGGGTTGCTTGCTTTTTACGCATTTGAAAGCTTTGTATGCCATCTGCTGGGCTCAGTAGGACTTTGCACACAGGAGCAGAATTGCTAGTTGCTGGTTGAAAAGTGCTTGAAGAATTGAATTTTACCCGGTGTTTTTGTTTGCACCTCCTGGTTCTTTTGGCTCTGTTGGTGATAACATAACCCAGGTCTATTGAATGTTCTGTGCCACACAGAGAAGTGCCCGCTTGCAGTTCCCATTTAGAGATACCACTCAGACTGAATTCTCTAATGGTTTTCGCTGTTTGGTCACCTAATGGAGAAATGGTGGAAGGAAACAAGGATTGTCCGGCATGGTGCCCTGGCCATGTATTGTGGTAGTGGAGCCCCCTCTGAGCAGCATTCAGGCTGTCTGAGGCTGCCAGAGGCAGGCGGACGCTGTGGACCTGGAGAAGGCCGTTTGTCCAGGGGCCCTGGCTGCTGCCACTGTTTGATGTGTGGTATCAGTGCATAGCAGCAAGATACAGCCCTATACATTGAACTGTGTGAATGGGTGGGGTGTGAGTGTACCAGGTGGGTGAGGCACAGGTCCACAGGACAGGCACAGTGACAGCTCTGCAGTTAAGGCAGCTGGTGACAGTGAGCTGGCATCTCTGGTCTTGCAATGTGAGATGTCCCTAGCTCTCACCTTGGGAGCATCAAAGAGCAAGGTAATAGAATAAGGTAGCCATGGGCCCTTCCAGAGGGCTGAAGTGAACTTTGCATATTCATCATCTAGGGAAGATGGCCGGCTGTGTGTTTGCAGAAAAATGGCGAACAGTCTGACCTGTGTGAGCAGCTGAGTTCAAACGTGCAGGGAGCTGTAATGCAGTTAGCCACAGCACTGCATTGGGACACATCTGTCACCGTGAGAACCCTCAAGAGTAATATCCTTTTGTTTTTTTCTTCCTCACAGTTATCTCCCTGGTGTGTTCGCTCTTGCTCCGTAATTTGATGATACAGGGCTTTGGCAAAAATACTGGCTTCTGTGGTCCCATCCTCTCATCCATCCCTTGCTACTTGTTCTCTCCCCAAGCCACAATGCCCCTTATCCCCACGCAGCATGTGAGGCCATGCTGTATGCTGCTGGGTTTAAAAAAAATAAACCAAAACTACAGCATGGTGAAATGGGTTATATTTAACCCAGACCAGTTCCTTTTTTTTTCAAATCACAATGTGGCCTCATAAGCAGCTGGGTCAGTGCAAGCAAGGGAAGCATGGTATCTGCAGTGCTGAGGGCGGAGCAGGGACACATGGCTCTGTATTCAGCTCTGCTTTTGAACTGCTGAATCATCCAGCTGTGGCCAAGGTTTGGCCTCCACCCTGGGGATGCCCCAGCCACCAGCAGGCGTCTACGAGGAGACGTCTGGCACCTACATCAGTCTTGGGCTGGTGGCTGCTCACAGCGCTCTGCGCTGCAAGGGATCTTGCTGAGTTCCCCATGTCCAGCACTGCTGTGCTTTGGGGGCTTAATGATATGTGTAAAACAAGGGTCCTTGCTGCTAGGTGGAAGTATGCTTTGAATTTTCAACTGCCCAGGGCAAAAAGAGAGTGGTTTGACAACAGTGAATCCTTGGTGCACATTCAGCTGCTCTTTTGTGCATTCATAAGATTTCACTAATTATGCACCTATAATTCATAAGAATATAAATAGAAATGAACACATAAATGAGGAATAACTAAGCCTTTTCCTTTGATTTCATTCTTCTTGCATATCAAGAGATGGCAGTATATTCTTCCATCCAAGCTACTAAAGACTTACAGCCTTCTCTGCTGTAGCAAGGAGAACCAAATTCCTGCAGAGTCTTAGAGAGGATGTTCAGTCTCAGGCAAGTAGGCAGCCTGGCATTTTGGTGATCTTTGAGTTGTAATGGTACATCACCACATACCACTACTACATTAATCAGTAAGGGGAAGAGATCCTAAATTATGTCCAAAAGAACAAAAAAGGTTTAAAAATTGTAAACGTTTCTGATACAAACAAATGAAGAAGATTACTGCTGATGGCATTGCATTTTGAATGATCCACTATCTAGAACATATGGCAGTATTACAAAACTGTTGGCAAAAAACAGCAAGAGTAAAGCCGAATAAAAATGTGTAGGAAGAAAACAAGAGCTAGGCCGAAAGAAGTGCAGTCAGTTAGAAGGAAAGATCTGTTTCAGCTGAGAGTTTATGCTTAAACAAATTTAACATACTCTTTGAAAACTAATTATGTTCAGCATTCAGTCTGAATGCCTTACAGATGACAAACCACAACGAGAAACAGACTTCCTTCCAGTGTTTATACATTGAGTGTTAGACCTTGAACCATGGCATTGGTAGACTTCATTGAACTCTAGATCGCTGTTAGATTTCTGTAGCCCTTGAATTCATATTACAATCCATTAAAACTATTTCAAGCAAATGCTGTCAGTGGCAACTCATGTATAGTTCATAATTACCATCTTTTTTATATTTTCATATACTCTGTTTTTGCTGCTTCTTGTTTTTTTCCAAATCATCTTCAAGTTACCATGATGCTTATAGGAAGTGTTCTCACTGAGGTCACTGTGCAGTGCCTTCACACTTTCGTATAGTGACTTGATTTCTGCGTTTGTCTTATTTTATGAACCAATATCTTTCAGCACCCCCAGATTCAAAAGGAGTCACAATATATCAAGTACTTATGCTGTGATGATCAAGCAACTCTGCATCAGTGGGTAACAGGAATAAGAATTGCCAAGGTGAGATTAAAAGTGAATTTAGTTAAATATGTTTTCTGTGAAATCCTGTCTTCCTCAGGTTACTGACTGTCATCACCTCAGCTGGAAATGCGGTGACAAGAATGGACGTTCATGCTAATTTTACCATAGAAAGGAAGAGCAGAAGGGCATGACCAGGATGGATATGCTGAATGTTCCTGTACCCTAGTTATCAGTGTGTTTTTCTCACTAATATGAGGGTAGCTGTGAAACTCATGTGTTGTAAAACTCACTCCACAGTTACCTGGCACAATAATAGTATGCTGTGGCTAAAGATAGGCAAGCTCTGGTCAGTCCAGCTGTGACATTTTTCAGACAGTTCTGCCCAAATTGTCTCTCCCACCTTCTTCAAAAAGGTCCAAATTCACAGACCTTTTTCATTTGCACAAAATATTATGGAGATGGATTTATATGTAGCTCAGTATACTGGCTGTACCTGGCTATACAGACCTGCTTCTGTTAGGTAAACATTCTTTTCTGCCAGTTCTGCTGCAGGGTGACATCCAACAAAGGTGTGGGGTGAACATTAAATTATTTTGTGTCTTATACCGACAGAGCCGTTTGCTCTAGAGCCCAGGATTCAGTGTCCCAAGTCTCCAGTCTGAAAACGTAACACTTTGAAAGCATTGGAAAAAAATATTTATTGAGAACAGTTCATTTTAAAGCCAAGTTTCAGGATGTTTACGAATACTAAAATGAACATAAAATATAAGAATTATATCAGTAGGACTGTTTTTGGTCACAAGGATTCATGGTCGATTGTGCTATTATGGAGATGCTTTCCACCTCACCCTATACCGAAATAGGCACAGCACTTGTAGAAGGCTACTTTTTAACACAACTTGGTAAGAAGGAATGGGGTCAGAAAAGAGAGCAAAATGAACGTTTGGCCTATTTTAAGCTTAACACCATGCTTATTGTATTGTTTTGATTGTTTTGCAGTATGGCAAGACACTATATGATAATTACAAATGTGCGGTGAAGAAAGCTGGCTTGTCCTCTTGGTGGGCAAATCAAGGGACAGTGGAACCAGCTGCCCCTGCAGGATCCTTATCAGCAGGTACTGATGCTGCCACAGCAGTTGAAATCACATTTAGTGTCTTCTTCTGTCTCATCAGTGTTGCACATAGCCTTTGTTCAGAAAACTATCCCATGCATTCAGCAAGATAATACCTTGTTCTAGACAGCCCATCTGATCTCTAACTAAGCTAGAAGCAGAGCTTTCACTTTAAAGTTAGAACTTGAAGAATACAAAGACAGCCCACCAAAGGTCAGTTTAAATCTGCATAATTTAATAAGGTATTTTTCTGTTGGCATCTGAATGCAAAACCCTTATTCTCTCTACATTTTATGTACTGATGGTCCATGTCTTGAAGTTTTCTGTCTGCTCATCTCTACATTGGCTGTATCGGAGCTTTTCTTCGAATAAGTAAAAGGAATGAGTAGGATATTCTGAGAATGATAATTCCAGAAAGAGATGATTATAGGGTGAGCCACTCTCTTTCCTAGCCTTTCACTCATTTGCATGATAACAGAAAAGACGCAGAGGAAGAAAGGATTGGATTATTCTCTGATTTTATTTTTCTAGTAGCTTCATCATATTGATGTTACCTGTTTTAGTATTGTACAGATACAACAGTGCATGATACTAGATGTAACTTGCATGAATGTTTTTAGTTTACATGCTTAGGATATGCTTTATTTATTAGGAAGGAGATGCTTACTGTGATAAGACAGGCAAAGTCAAAATCAGTGTTGACAGTTAATGTTCTGACTTCTCATGTAGACAACTCAAAATCCTCCAAACACCTTTCCAGGGCTTTAGTTTGCCTTTTCTCAGTACATGTGAGAAGAGGGTGGTCTTTCTAGTATTCCTTGGAGTCAAATCATGGTAATAAATGTACATTTGGGGTAGGGAGACACAGTAACAGGCTGTTTTGAGATCAGGGGATTTTTTTGATGGTTGTGCGTGGGGGTACTTTAGCGAGGGTGAATGGGACAGTTGTTAAGCATTTTGCGTTCTGGTGTTGATGGCATCAGAGAGGTGGCTGGCCAGTGGGACTCCACGCTGGTGCTGCAGTCTGTACTGGATATGGGCAGGATCAAGGCCTTATAAAGTATATTATACATCTGTATAATTTCAGCTTCTGACTAGAATCCAGGAACACTGCATGTGATCATAAAATATACCGTTAATCTTAACTAATGGATCACATTAAATGGTTAAGTAACCTGGAAAGATTTTAGTCATGTATGTTATCTCTATGGAAATATCTCTGAAGGATCATTAGCATTCTAATTGAGGCAAGTCACTGTGGTTCTTGCTGTTTTACAGTTATCATTACTTCCCTACATAAAACCTGGGCCCTGACTATAATACTATAACCTGGACTGCCTGACTACGAGCAGTTGTTGGCTGATGTTTTGGAAATGGAACAAAGCATATTTCCTTCTGTTCTGCTTTCAAATGGCTGCACAGTCATTGATATGGTCTGATTTCAGTGATCCTTATCCAGGCTCCAGGCATCTATTGCTGGCACTAGCATCAAACTGGCAGGAGTGGGATGGATTGAAGTTCCCCTCCCGCAGCAACTTTAGTTTAGGTAGTCTGACATCCCTTGAAGGCTAAATGGCCCTAGTAATTTCAGTACACTGCGGAGTTTGTCTTACTTCTTTGCCAATCATGTGATTTTGCAGGCATGGCAATAAAAATAATTCTATTTCTTATGATATTCATGGAACCTCTTTGCTAATCAGAAAAGTACAAATTAAGATTAAAACCATCATTGTGCTTAGACTCACATTGCAGACAGTTAAGGGTTCACTAGCGTCCAAGAAGTACAAGTGGAACTTTACCAGATCTCAGAACAGTACATTATAACAGAGCTAAGGCAGCCATTAAATTTTACAAATGCATGTAACTAGGCACCAAAGACTACCTACTACTTTGATGTGTATGGCTTCCAAAAATCCTAGACAAAACTGGAGAGTTTATTTAATCCTCTTCAGACAATACAGGGGCTGGGGATTTTTTCATAGTTAAAGCCACAAATTAGTCCTTCGGTCTCACATTCACTTACTCCATTTGGCAGTACTGGGTTACTTATGCATATCCCCTACAAACACAGTAATATGGTGGGCAGACAGTTTGCAGAGCTTTAACTTAGCCAGCTAGCAGATTTTCACTAATTTGAGAATACAGTAAGGTTCATAAATCTTCCATGATTCCAGATGGGGGAGAAGTTTCAGAGCTGTTAGCTCACATACTAAAGAAAATGGACTTTGAACTTTTAGTTCTCATGACTCTTATTGATATGAAACTGTGGCACTTTTAATCTTTAGCCTAAAGTAAAGAAAAAAAAATGCAATTAAACCTGAGAATGTGGTAATACTACAGCACACTGCAAACTTCAGAATACTGTTATGAAAGACAGGTATTTAAACAACAGAAGGCCAGAGGGTGGGCTTACCTATGCCAGTTTGATTCCTGCTTAGCTTCCCTTCCAAAGTCAGCTCCCCTTCTCTGTTCCTGTGTCAGCCTTAATGATCCCCTTCTGTAACGACCATTTACAGTAGTCAGAAGAAAAAGTTTTTCATTTGTCAACACCTTTACACACTCTGATAATTTCTGTCATATGTCTTCATAATTCTTACACTGGCGCTTCATGTAAGATTGTCCACTCCAAGTGTGGAGGCATGTGGATAGGTATTAGTTTTAATGTAAAGTATCTTGTTTATTTTCCTTAGCTAATGAACTGAATATGAAAAGTCACAAAATAAGCCTGAAGTAGAAAACAGACATCCTCATGGATTTTAATGAATTATGTATAAAAAGCCTGTAATGAGTGATTCCTTGGTGGAAGTTGTAAAGACATTTTTATAGCCTGTTTCTTAGTTTGCTATTCCCTGATCTGGTTAATATCACAATAATGTAACACTCTCTTCCACCTCCTCTCCTTGTCACAGGTGCTGTTCAGTCAAATGGACAGATTCCCCAAATCGTTTGTCGTTCCAGTGCAGAATTTCCAGAGACTCAGAAAAAAGTGGACACCTCAGAGGTACAGGTCAGCAGTTACTAGCAGTTAAATGTCATCTGTGAAACAGTTATTTTTCTTCACCCACTCACTTCCCCCCTCAAAGTGCCAGTGTACTGTTGTGACAAGGATTTGGCTCCTGGGCAAGGTGGCTGGTTCCTTGCTGCAAGCAGTGTGCCTGTTGCACAGAAGCAGGGAGCCATTGATGGGAGGTGAAGGCACAGCCATGCGCCACTTTCGTTCTTCAGAACAAATAGCCATGAGTTCA